CCTGCATAGCGCGATCGAGTCTCAAAAAAATAAAAAAACAGAAGGGGTTATCACTCTGGGAGGCTGAGGCAGGAGGATCACAAAACTCAAGTCAACCTGAGCATTTTAGCAATCTAGTGAAACTGCCTTGAAATAAAACATCAAAATAGAACCAGGGAGGTGGCCCAGTGTGAGGCCCTGCGTTCTGTCCCCAGTACTGCAAAACAAACATACAAACAAAGCCCATCACATGTCTGCTGTCCTCAGGCAGAGGAGCAGTGAGGAGGCCACCTGAGATGGCCCCTGCCCCAGGGCCCTAGCACATGATCCCCAGGGCAGCCTGACAGGTGGGCAGCATCCATAGGTCAGGAGTGACAGATCCCTGGGTTCTGGCGGTGACCAGGACTCAAGAGGGTGCCAGCTCTTGGGCAGCATGGGGACCAGGCACTGGGGATGGACCCCAGCTGGGTCTGGGGATTGGAATGGAGGGTGTGGCCCCTGCAGGCATCTCCCTGAGCCCCTGCGTCCCAGCTCCACAGGGCTGCTCTGGGTGGGGACACCTCAAAGGCAGGAACCCTGCATGTTCCATGCACATGCTGACCACAGGCCCTTGGTTTACGTGACTTCTCCTCTTTTTGAACCCAGGGCCTTTGCAGTGAGCTACATCACAAGTCTTTTGTCTTTTTGTGGGACACAGAGGGGCTGGGTCTCAGTAAATTGCTAAGATGCACAGGCTAGGCTCCAACTTGCAGTCCTCCTGCCTTGGCCTCCTGGAGCACACCTCCACACCCAGTTTGCTTTGAGGGTCTGGCAATGGGCGTCCATCAAAGATATTAGGACCCCGTGCACTGGGGAAGGCAGGAGGTGACTTCAGGGTGAGCTACAGAAGAGCAGGGTTAGGGTCTCGGTAGAGTCAGCAGCAAGCTGAAGGGAAGGGTTTAACATAAAGGGCACTGTGTGTGTGTGTGTGTGTGTGTGTGTGTGTATGTGTGTGTGTGTGTGCATGTGTGTGTACTGTGTGGAGGAGTGGTGACGAAGCCAGGCATGGTGGCACATATGTGTAATCCTAGCACTCCAGAGACTGAGGCAGGAGGATCTCTACAAATTCCAAGTCTGCCTGGGTTACACAGTGACTTCAATGCCGGCCTGGACCACCTAGCCAAAGCCTGCCTCAAAAATAAACAAAACCAAAGAGGATTTTTTTTTTTTTTTTTTTTTTTTTGAGACAGGGTCTCACTATGCAGTTCAGGCTGACCTTGAGCTCACTTTGTAGCCCAGGCTGATCCCGAATTTGCAACGATCCTCCCACTTCAGCTTCCAGAGTGCTGGGATTACAGGCGTGAGCCACCACGCCCGGCTGAAAGGCAATTTTGAGACAAAAACCAAGCTCAAGTCTTCCAGAAATTTCCACAGGTGTAACTCAGCCGTTGACAGTCACATGCCCTCCCATACCTCTGCACTTCTTTCTCTGGCTGTGCACTCTTAAGACGCTGCTGCTGATAGGACTGAAATACAGATCAGTGGCATACTGCCTGCCTGGCAAGCTCAAGGTCCTGAGTTCAATTCCTGGTACACACACACACACACACACAAAAAAACATTCTGCCCAGTAAATCACTTCATGTTTCTCAAAATGCCAGGCACAGCTTTTGTTTTTTAAAGTCCTCTCCAGGCCCTCAGCAGGTCGCAGGCTTCCCCAGGCTTGGGGACGGAGGTGACTCAGTGCGGACTTGGCTGCACTGGGGGCTCCGTGTGGCAGGAGATGCAGGCTCGAAGCAGCATCAAGGCCAAACTCAGTACCTCTGCATCTGCACCAGGCCTGCATCTCCAGGGCACAGAGTCTTCCCCTTGTCTCGGAACCCAGGGAGCAGGACCCTGGCCACTACCTCCTGCTAGGACACTGCAGCACAGCAAGGACACCTTGATTGACTGTTTCCACTCAAAAGACGCTTCAGAGGCAGGTAGAAGCAACATGACCTGGAGGAACCCCTCAAAATCCTCACCACCCTGGAACACACTCATCCCCTGGTCCTGGCCACTCTCTGCAGCAGCTCTGCAGGCCTCTTTCCTGAGGGTCTTTAGTTGCTTTGTGTGGCCCTCTTGAGGCCCTGAACCCATCCAGAAGTTTCCCTTCATGGTCATTTTGATTTTGGGGAGGGGAAGAAGTGCCCTGGTGCCACACGTAGTGACTAAATGTGGACAAGGACACAGAGTCCGGTTTTCGCAAACCACCATTCTGCTGGATGGCAAAGGCAGCAGCAGCCGTCACCAGACTTTTGATCAAGCCTCATAAAGACACTCAGGAAAGAGGATTCCAGAGCTGCTGCCTAACGTGGCCAGGCTGTGAGACAAGTGTGCTTCAGAAGGGGAGGAGATCTGTGGTCGTGTGTCTTCTACCGTTACAATAAATGACTTCACGTGTCCTTCATTGTAAAATTCATGGTATATATGATCGCTTTGTGTGCAAATCTCTAATCCCTCTTTCAGAGGGACAGAGGGCTCGGTATGCTTGCACGTTCATGCCCAGCACAGCACAGACACTCAGGAAAACCTTCCCAGGAATTCCTATGTCAAAGACCCGGTGGAGGCCGGGGCCCAGCCGGGGCCTGAGGCTCAGCCAGCACGTGGTCCAGAGATCGCTCCCCACTACCCAAGAAATCAAAATCATAAATATAAAACCTGGAAGAGCCAAGAATAGTGGTCAATAATAATGAAACAAATGCTAGCAGAGAACTGTGAGCTTGTGTGTGCCAGGCCCTACACCGACTATTTTTTTAACCTTTTTTTTTTGGGGGGGGGGGTACAGGGGATCGAACTCACAACCTTGCACTTACCAGGCAGGCACTTAAGCCAATGAGCTAAATCCCCAGCCCTCCACCGACTATTTTTGTTAACTCCTATTATCTATTATTACTTACTTTCCACATTCCCAAATAAAGCAAGGCTTAAAGAGGTTAAATCATTTTCCCAGGGACACATCCCTAATAAGGGCGCTAAAAACAAGGCCCAGGCTTGTTCACTCCTGAAAAGAGGGCCTGACTGCACTGCTCCCTCAAACACCAGAGCGCACCCAGCGCTCTGCAGGGTGCAGAAGGAGGCCCAGCAGTGCTGTGGGAAGGCTCCTGGCCAAGCAGCCAGGTTTCATTTCTGTTCTCTTTGCTGATTCGTCTGAGACTTGTCCAAAAACTCTTACACTTCCTTCCCCGCCCTTCACCTCCAAGGAGAGAAAATACTCTGACTCAGGGTGCCCTGGCTGGGGACGGGGGAGGGTGGAGCAAGGGCCACCCACACTAGCCAGGCGGAGGCGGGCAGGGCACTGCGCGCGGAATTACCTGAGACTTTCCAGCCCGGAGGGGAAAGAGGAAGTCTATTTTCAGTGACAGTGATGACGCTAAAAATATGAACAGGCGAGGGGAAAATGCTCATTCTGAGAGTCATCAGTGTGTGAGTTCTGTTTCCTCGTGGTGACTTCAAACTCCAGATAGAGGTGGCCTCCCCGGCACCCGACAGCCAGCCTGCGACAGGAGTACGGCTTGGCTGGGGCAGGCTGGGGCTCTGATATCCCCAGCATGGGGCCTGAGGCCCCAGTCAGAGCCGCAGCCCTGGCCAGGGGCTGTCGGGCTAAGTAAGGCAAGCAGCAGACTGAGAAAGTAGACCTTTGCCACCACCCAGACATACGGCAGCAAGTACCTACGGCTTCCTCCTGTCCACTCAGCCAGCAATCACTTTCCCACGAGCCCCTGATCATCCAAATGGTCTATGGTACAGGCAAAGGTATATACTGTAGAATTTGTTCTTGTCTGTATCTTAAGTATTTCAGGAGGAAAAAAAGAACGGCATGGTGCACATCTGTGACCCCAGCACTCTGGGAGGCTGAGGCAGGAGGAGGTTTGAGCCCAGCCTGGCATTTATTGACTTAGCAAAGCCCCATGTCAAAATTTACAAACAAGGGCTTGGGGGCTGCCAGTGTAGCTCTGTGTGAAGGGCTGGGTTCAATCACCAGCATGAGAAGAACAGAAGCTGTTAGTTCCCTGCTCCACAGATGCCTAGGGAGGAAATGCTCCAAAAAGGAGCCCTGGCTGGGGCCGGGCATTCACCCAGGTCTTGGGTAGGGTGATTTTAAGACCATGATGCAAGCATGTGATGTGTCCCTCTCTCACTACCTGAATGTCTGTTTTCAGAAATTCCCAGCAACGATCTCACACAGCAACAGCAGGGCTCCCGCTGCTTTCCACACCGCCCTCCTCACAGTTGGTCCCCAGCCAGGCAGAGACCCAGGGGCCACGGGCCAGTCGGGAGTGGGGGGTGAGGAGCAGCACTGCCCAGCGGGTGCAGACACCCGCTCCTTGGTGCGGCCAGTATATGCTACTGTAACGCAGTAGATATTAATAAAATACAGAAGGGGCTCTTCTCACTTCTGTGAGAAATATAAACTCTGTAACAAAACAATTAGAACAGTATTTAGTTTTATACCATGTCCGTAAAATAACAGCCCCAGTGTCACTCTGACAGACGTCATAGTCAAAGCGCCTCTCTCTTATAAAGGAAAAAAACGCGTATTAGTAATATAAATAAAATAAATTATCTATATGTGAAATATTTTCAAAGCAATGGAAGAGAAATGTATTTGAACCTCTCCTGACTATATTTATCTTCTGTTTTGTACTTAACTTATGTATACATGTTGGATATTTTGTTTTGTATTTTTGGTTGGATCCAAAAAAAAATCCAGGCTGCCACCGAATTCACGGCAACCGTCCAACCTCAGCCTCGGGCTGCTGGAGCTGCAGGTGTGCGCACCACGCCCAGCACGGTGCCTGTAATCTGAATGACTCTGTTTTTGATGAAAAGGTGTAGACCTCACGGACTGAGTAGAAGCCTTCCGTGTACTAGAGTCCTTGCAGCTCCAGGGTACCCGCGATCTGTGACTCTGACCCGAGGGTCCGGGTTCGCTATGCGGGTATGGGGGGCCTGACAGCTGCCCCTCGGGGACACCGCGCCACGCCCGCTGCGGCTCTTACCGCGGCTCCGTCCTCTCCGCGCCCCGGGCTCACGTCCTGCTGGCGGCCGCACCCATCCCGGTTCCACGCGCGGCCCCGCGGGCCAGGGCGGTACTCAGCGTCCGCAGCCTGCGGGAAGAAGGAGAGAAGTGAGCCTGCAGCAGCCGCGGGGACACTTGGAAGCTTTCATGACGCTGGGGGTTGCTGAAAAGCTGGGTTCTAGGATCTTTCTCACTGGGGCTGTCCCCTCCCACGCGCCCAGGGCACTAACACGGCCGCGGTGCTCGGCCATGCACGCAGCGTCCCTGGCCCCCAAGCGTGGCTGTAAAACTCAGTGAGGCCTGGGAACCGTTGACTCTGTTACTTCACCTGCTAGGTCCTGAGGGTCTGTCTGTCTGTTTATGTAGGGATTTGAGACAAGGCCTCTCCAGGCAGTCCAGGTGCTGGCCTCCAACTCACTAGTGTCCTACGCTGGCCTTGAGCTAGCAGCGATCCTCCTGCCTCAGCCTCTCGGATATTGCACGCAGCACCACACCTGGTTCCTCAGCCTGAGCTTTAAGAGCTGCGCCTGGGTGTGAGGACGCACTCCTGTGCTCAGCATCTGCCTGGTTAGGGAGCCTGACTCCCCAGGTGCCTGAAGGATGAAGCTGGGATGCAGGATCACAAGTGCAAGCTGTGGAGGGAGGGCCGGCTGCAGTGTGGGCCTCTCCGCCTCCTGTTTATTCATTGTGCACAACACCAGGGCAACTTGCCGAGCAGGGCAGGGAGGGTCAGGCTTTGTGATGGGGTCCCTTGCACTCTAGGGCCAGAACGCAGGACACACACAGCAAAAGATCACATGGGAAAACCTGCACTTTACAGACAATCCAAACCCACCTGTCTGTAATCTCAGCACTCTGGGAGGCTGAGGCAGGAGAATCACAAGTTTGAGCCCAGTCTGGGCATCTTAGCAACTTAGTGAGACCCTGTCTCAAAATAAAAATAAAATATAAAGGGCTGGGTTGGTAGCTCAGTGTGAAGACCCTGGGTTCAGTCCCCAGGAGGGAGAAAAAGTGGTGGACGACATGGGCACAACTTTTTGCACACGCTGAATACAAAGTGGGTGAGTCAGATGCTAAGGGGGAGGAGAGGCAGTGTTGGGAGATGGAACAGCTGCGGGGTACAAGGCTCCCCCAAAGCTCAGGCACAGGTGTTTTGGGAGAACGAACGGGTTCTTGGCGAATGCAGATGCTGTGGACAGGCCGCAGGTTCCCCCGGCGAGCACAGCCGTGCCTAGCAGCTGTTATCGCTCCTGGGGCAGGAAAAGTGCTCTCAATTTTCTCTCCAAGCCCACCAGGCAGGCGGGCTGCGTGTGCAGGGGCAATGCCAGTCATCAGCCAGCCCTGGGAGCTAAAGCTCTGGCCCAGCCGGCCTAAGTGGCAGGTCTGATACCAACTAGGGCTACGGAACCAGACCCTGCCTCAAAACACCACGGAACAAAGATGAAATTGCGGAGCTTCCCCAAAAGCCTGCAACTGAGGCGCAAGTGTTATGGTTTTGGGGTTTCTGAGATGCCACCCACATGCCACGCATCTCGGAACTCGCACTCCTCTCCTGCGCAGCCTCCCATGCCCAGAACTTGAACCCCACCCTGCGGCTCATGGCCTAGTGCTGCCCTCCAGGCCAGTCACGCAGAGCACGCAGCACTGCCTTGTTCTTAAGGTGAGCAGCATCCAGGTCCCGCGCAAGTGTGCAGGGGTGTGTGTGTGTGTGTGTGTGTGTGTGTGTGTGTGAGATCTGTGAGCCCTTTTCCTGAGAGTGCACTGCAGCCACACTTGCATGCTTTGTGTGAACATCAGCTTCAATTTTCCTGGAGCAAAAGCCGAGGACTGGAATTTCTGGGACATATGGTAAGACTCATTATCTTACAAAGCAAAGGTACCACTTTAGGCTCCTATCAGTAACACAGCAGATGCTGGGTGTGGTGGCACATGTCTGTGAGCCCAGTACTATAAAGGCTGAGGCAGGAAAATCTATCCAAGTTCACGGCCACCCTGGACTACATAGTAAACCTAAGACCAGCCTGAACTATACAGAGAGACCCTGTCTTTTAAAAAAAGTCCTCACACATATATTTTTAGTTTTAGTTTTAGTTTCGTTTTTTATTTTCTTATTTTTATTGGTACCAGGGATCGAACTCACGACCACCTGCTTGCAAGGCAGGTGCTAATGCCACTGAGCTAAATCCCCAGCCCCCGTTTTTGTTTTTTTAGACAGGGTCTTATTATGTAGTCCAGACTGGGCTTGAACTCACTAAGTACCTTATGCTGGCCTTGAACTCACAGTGGTCCTCCTGCCTCAGTCTCCACAGTGCTAGAATCACAGTCACACACCATCATGCTCAGTGATGTTTGTTTTTATTTATTTTTTATTTTTTGTCTTTTTGGACAGAGTCTCACTATGCAGTTCAGGCTGGCCTTGAATTCACTTGTGGTTCAAACTGACATCGAACGTGATCCTCCTGCCCCAGCCTCCTGAATTGTGGCATTGCAGGTGTGAGCCACCATGTCTGGCAGATGTTTACATTTATAACCGAATGAAGTAAACTCTATAAACTTGCGATCTTTCTATGAATAGAACATGAGTTTTAAGAACATGAGTTCTTAAAAGTTTCCTCTAACCTGAATCTATTCTTATTTTATTCTTATTAACTCTTCAGTGTGTTTTTAAAATGTAGCATTCACTGTCTGCAATATCTTACACAATGTAGATGAAAAGTAACAGTAATAACAATAAGATTTGGTAAAAGCAATCTGCAAAACTGTGGCCCCTTGCTCTCCTATCATAGGTAGCCGGGCCTCCAAGCCTGGGTTCTTTCTTGAGACTGAGTCTCATTACGTAGCTCAGACTGACCTTGAAATGTGATCCTTCTGCCCCAGCCTCCTGAAGGCTGGGATTACAGACATGCACCAAACCTGTGTTATCCCAGGCATCCTGGCTGCACCGGCTTGGAGGAGACTCAGTGATGAAAGCATTTCACTTTGGAAAAGGTAAGCAATCTTCATTTTCAAAAAATAATGAAAGGACATTTTTCTCTAAAAGTGAGCCTTCAGGGATCAATCGTGCTCTTTCTATCAATGTTGCCACCGTCTATTAGGGTACTGGGCACCGCTGGGAGGGACAAGGACTTGGGGACCTGGCCCAGCCCTCTGTGCTACTGGATGTGGCTGCTTTCCTCTGCACTGGGTCTGCCAGGCCAGAGGGGTCAGCCCGGGGCACGCACAGGAGAGTCCTGACCTCGTGGGGCCCCTGCATGATGGTTGTCCCCTTGCACACGCACAAGTGCACATACACGCATCTGCCTCCTTCTGCAAGCAAATGATCCCCATGTCACAGCTCCCATGGGGAAGCTCTGTTTCAAAGGTCAACAACTGAGTCTGAAGCCAGCTGGGGCTATGAAGTCAGTTCAAACCTGAACAGCAGTGAGACCCTGTCTCAGAAAGACAAGCAGTTTTCTTCACACTCACTGCATAAAAACACCCCTGCCCCAGGGTGCCCGCTCTCAGGAGAGGCGGCCGCACTGTCCCCTGCTCCTCCAGGTTAACCTCTGCAGAGCCAGGTCCATGGAACATACACTGGGTTTTCCTGAGCCACAGTCGAAAGAGCTGAAGTATCAAATAAAGCTGAACTGCAAAGGAGCAGCTAGAAACTGTTGAGCACAGCACTGCGCTGCACAAAGGGATCAACACCCAACACTGCAAGGGAAGAGGTGTCTGCAGATCCCACTGGCATTGTTGCAGGTTATCAATCAGTCAATCAATCAATCACTCTGTGTCCCTTTCAGAAACAAAGAGAAGCTGTGGGTATCTGCGGCCTGTGGGAGGAGCGCCCCCCCCCTCCCGCCCCCCAGCCCTGCTCGGATCCCCAGCACTGCCTGGAGACATAAAACTGTAAAATCCAAGACAGAAAGCCCAGGGCATGAAGGTCAGGAGACAGGGCAAGTGTGAATCCTGCACTGGACCCAAACATTCCCGTGGTGCTCAGCCACATCCTAGCTACAGTCCTATTTGGTCACAGCCTGGAGGTGGACGCATGCCCAGCTCCCAACTCGGAAAACCTGCCGAGAGGACAGGTTATTTAGCTCCACTAAAAGAGAAAATGGAATTCTGCTACAACAGAATCACTTCTCGTAATATCCAGGCATCTAGCGATCCCTCTAGAAATCCATGTTGTGAGGGGAGGAGAGGGAAGGGGAGGCTAGGAAGCAGCTCTGGCAGTCACGCTGTCCCTGTCACTTCCTTTCTCTCCACGTGGAGACTTGGGAACTGGCGCTGTGTTTCCACAATGACCGCTGGACGGTGATGCCGCAGGCCACTAAGCCTCGAGCTGAATCTCAGGTTCTTGTCCCAGTTCACACATGCTCAGGAGCAAACCAAGGAGACAGGCTGACTCTACCCCTGTAGGCTGTGTGGCCTTAAACGGTCATTTAAGGAAACCAGGGACCGCAGAGGTCTAGAGTGCTAAATTCTATGACCCTTGCTTCACCTTGTCACCATGGTTTTGTGAATCTAGGATACAGGCAGCATGCAGTTCCACGTAGCTGGGAGAATACACATCCGCTCCTGCAGCAATGGGCAAAGAGGAAACCAGGGGCAGCAGTGTATCCACAGATTTCAGCTGATGTACGCTTACACTGTAACTGTGCGTGAATACCCAGCCAGGCGTGGTGGCGGCACACACATGTAGTCCCAGCACTTAGGAGGCTGAGGCAGGAGGATCATTGCAAGTTCCAGGCCATGCCTGGGCTACATAACAAGACCATGTCTCAAAAATCAAAACCAAAGGGGGCTGGCAATTTAGCTCAGCGGCATAAGAACCTGCCTTGCAAGTAGGCAGTCCTGAGTTCGATGCCCGGTACCGATAAAAAAACAAATTAAAAAAAAAAATTAAAACCAAAGCAAACCAAAAACCGTCCCTAAAATGTAACTGAGAGTCACAATGCTCATTACTGAGGCCAAGAAAGTTTCTGTAAAACACATTTTATGGCATCAATCTGATACCTTCATATTATGAGGTGATATAACGGATTCTTGACAGAAAGGAATCTACTAGGACCAAAGCTGACTCAGGCTGAGCGGTTGTGATCCATGCATAGCAGCCCCAGATGAAAGTCCCATCAGCAGGTCATCCCGAGGGTCCCACAAACACTGCTCCAGTCTGTGCCCTTAACCTAGTTCTTTAAAACTGAGTCCATTCTTCCCACATGGGACAAAAGTATTAGGTTTACATCACCTCTACCTTCTGCTTTCAAGGCAGACGGGAAGCAACAGAATGAGTCTTAAATGATAGAAACTGATATGCTAGATGATTTTCAGCCCAAAGAATATCACCAGGGAAGTACAGTGTAAATAAGACCCCTGTGGGACAGGTTCAGAGCCAGCAGCATTGGCATCATTGCTATACACACTGGAGGATCAATTCTGAAAATTCTAATGCATGAGGAGATTGCTAACTATCATAAAGTGAAAATTCTACCTATTACTGTTTTAATAGACCAGGAATTTAGCTCAGTGGCATTAAGTTTCTGTCTGGCAAGCACGAGGTTGTGAGTTCAATCTCCAGTACAGGGAAGGAAGGAAGGAAAGCAAAAAAGAAAGAAACAGCAAGCAAGCGAGCATTACTTCAAATAGTGAGATTTTTCATTTTAAAAATATAAATGAGAGCTGGGGATTTAGCTCAGTGGCATAAGTGCCTGCCTTACAAGCATGAGATTGTGAGTTCAGTCCCAGGTACCAAAAAATAAATGAATAAATAAAAATATGAGGAAATTTCATCAAATTTTATTATCAATAAAGAGGCAAACAAAAACAATTTATGAAGATTTCAGCCGGGTATTGTGGCATATGCCTTGCAATCCCAGCACCTGGGAGGCTGAGGCAGAAGATTGAAGGTTTAAGGCCAGCTGGGTTATACAGAGTGACTCTATTTCAAAGAAACAAAAGAAAAACAAAGTCAAAAACAAGAAAGAAGGAGAAGGGGGAAAAAGCACGGACGGAAGAAAGAAAAAGAATAGAAAAGGGAATAATAAAAAGAAACAATAAGAAAGGAAGATTTCAAAATGTAAGGATATCCTGCAGCCATATTTATCTAAACTGTTAAAAAATAAAATGCTCATTTTGCAAATGAAGTATCATTAGCATGACATAAAATGCTTTTATCAAAAGGCTTCTCTTTTTTTGTTTTTTGTTTTTGAGACAGGGTCTCACTACCCAGCCCAGGCTGACCTCAAACTCACGGAGCTCCTCCTGCCTCAGCCTCCCAACTGCTGGGATTATAGACTGCACCACCACGCCCGGGTCATAAGGCTTCCCATAAATATCTAGTTAAGAAGAATAGATAAGGCCTTTCCTGCCACACCACACTAGCGGCAGCCTGTGGGAGCCTGGTCAGGGCTGGAGGAGGCAGGGAAGCCACCACAGCCCGTGCTATCTGAGTTGCAGGACAAAGCAGACAGCAGGGTTGTGGGAAGGGAGGCGCTCTGTGGTGACACTTAGGTGACCGCACACAGTTGGGTCCTGGCAATCGCTGTAGTCAGCTCTGCTGTTTACACCATTCCTAAAGAAGAGACAGAAAGGTATTGATCAACTGACTTAAAGTCTTTTCCACTAAAAGTGTAACAATTAACTTGGGCTGTAGCCTGAGAGCAACATGACACGGGAAATTCAGTGGGAGAAGTTCTTTTCATAGACCCCAAGGCCTTCGCACTGAGCTCCATCCCTAGCCCTCGCTGTCATCGTTTATTTCGTGACAGGGTCTCACTGAATGACTAAGGTGCCCGAGCTGGGCTGAACTTTCAGCCCTGCTACTGTAGCCAGCGCCCCTCATGCTGGGATTACAGGCCTGAGGCACCATGCAACTAAGAAACAAACATTTAAAGATAAAATTTTTTTAAAATGTCTTCAGGGATTTAGCTCAGGCATAAGCACCTGCCTTGCAAGGTGCAGTTGACTTTGATCCTCAGTACAACAAAACAAAAAATATCTTCAAAGGCTGGGTGTGGTGGCCCACGCCTGTAATCCCAGCATGTGGGAAGAGGCTGAGGCAGGAGGATGCAGTGAGTTCCAGGCCAGCCTGGACTACAAAGTGAGTTCAAGGTCAGCATGAACTGCATAATGAGACCCTGTCTCAAAAAGAATAAAACAAACAAAAACTCAATGTTCAAAATTAAATATGAAAACTTCGCAAACATTTTATAACATTAAGCTTATAAAAAAAAGTAGGAGGGGGCTGGGGATTTAGCTCAGCGGCATAAGTCTTGCAAGTGTGCAGTCATGAGTTCGATCCCTGGTACCGATAAAAACGAAAAAGACAAAAAAAAATTTTTAAAAAGTAGGAGCGTAATCTTTCAAATAGCAGCCATGATGACAGAATTTAAATTCGTTTCTTCCCAAGCAAAGAAATCTAGTTTTTAAAAGCTGTAAATTCAATCACAGGGTTTGAGACCCATGCAAATAACAGACACTCACATGAATATTTCTATAAAAAATTTATGACACAGTTTTCATAAGAGCAATTGTTGTTCTCAAATAAACTGAATCTTCATGTTTTAAAATTTTCTGGAAAAGAGGTATAACTATTACTACTTAAAAACTGAGTTCTTGGGAATGTTCAAAAACTAGGATCGTAAGTAAAAATAAAAATTAGTGTCCTGTATAGATGTAAGGCATAGTCTAAACAGAGCTACACATTTTAAGGCAGGCTGTGGTAGCACACTCCTGTAATCACAGCACTTTGCATGCTGAGGCAGGAGGATCGCTGTAAATTTTTAGCCTGGACTACAAAATAAGTTCAAGGCCAGCCTGCACTGAAATTCTGTTTAAAAAAAGAAGGGAATAAATACACATTTTAAAAAATGTTTGAAATCTTTATTTGTACATCTCTTTCGTGGAACTCCTTTTTCTGATTTGTAGTTTTGCCAGTCCGGGTTGGTAGCGTACTGATTGTGCATGTGCGCATGCGCGGGTAGCTGGGAGGGGCTCAGGGCACTGGGGGTGGGATGCCGCTCTCCGTCTACACCGTGTGCCCCAATTGGAGGATCGTGCAGCAGCGGGGCTGGGACACAGTGTCCAACTGAGTTCTGTGTCACAGGCAACGCGAAACCGTGGGGACACTCCGGGGAGGAGGGGACCCTCCCCTCCAGGGCAGGAGTTGTGACTCAGGTTGGGATCTGCGCGCAGCATCCGTGCACATCTCCGTGTCTGTCGGTCTGTCTTTCTCTCTCATTTTGCATGTGTGTGTGTGTGTGTGTATATATATATATATATATATATATATATATATATATATATGTAAAATGAAAAGGCCTGGCCACAGAATATAGGGATCATAGCTCATAACTGACAAGGGGGAACTGAAAAATACAAACCTTACTAAGGATTTCAAAATATTCGAGGTATGAACATAGATGAGCCTAACAATTTAGAGAATTTGAGATTTTTATTTTTAACCCTGCTTTGCTCCCTGTAAACAAGGAATCAGAAGGCAAAGGAAAGCCATTTTAATACGGAGTACGTGTGAGCCACCAAGTCCTATAGAAGGATAATAAGAAGGCTGAGGCAGGAGGACTGTGCGTTCACACACAACTTAGACTGAATCACAAAAAAGAGAGAGAAGGAAGGAATGAGGGGGTGACCCCCCACTTGAATGTGAGCTGCTGCCTCTACAGTGGGCAGGAGAAGCAGATGGTACAGTCACAGAGGTGTCAGAAGCCCTGTGCTGGCGTCAGCATCTGTAGGCTGGTGTCCCGGTGAGTGTAACTTGGCCCCAGGAAAGCACAGAAAGCTGTGACCAGAGCAGCCATGCTCTGCCCAGTGTG